TCTGCTGGTCCTTGATTGAGAAACTTTCCATGTCTTTGATTCCAAGGAAAAAAAAGATTTAACCATCAGGTTCTCACAAAGACCTTGTATATATCTGACTCACTACATGTTAAAGACTACAAATTATCTAAGAAACCAGACCACTGTAAGACATTAATTTCTTTCATTCTATACCTGAATCTTTCTTTTCTTCAAAAAACTGAGAATTCAGAATATATATTCAGTCCGTGCAAACATGGTATTGAGTATTGATGTAGTTCAAGTGGATATGAGTCTGAAAACTGATTCCTTTTTTAAGTGATCAGAATTTCCATAATATTAAAGGAGGGAGAAGACTGTTATTGGCTTATCTAGGAAACCATATTTTTTAAGAATAAATAGGCTAAAGAACTATCTGATGACATTTTCAGGACAATTAGGATCAACTGCATCTTTAATAACTTTTATTTAAAAAATAAAATGAGAGCGAGAAGGTGGGGCAGAATAATCTCAGTTACTTCATGAAATGGGTTACTCCAAGGCTATGGACCCAGATTTCAATATGAACAGATTAATGTACCTTCCATTATCATACCATAGCCACCTCAGAAAGTACTTTCTTTTCTTATTGATATTTACAGTGATGGCATGCACATTCTCATATGCCAGTACAATGTTCTAAGTGTTCCTGGTGCTATACTGTGTAAACACAGAATAATAAATTTCTTGTTCTCTGCTTCATGTAAGCATGCTATACAGAGAAACCTATTCTGTCTTATCAACATAGTGACCGTAGTGTTTATGATATAGTACCTTAGTAATGAGCCGCTCACCTCTACGACACGTCTTTCTTTCAGACTAGATGATCATGATAGTCCCTTCTGGCCTGAAAGACTTAGTCTGTGTCTTTCTCTTTCAGCTCTTTTAACTTCTCATAGTAGGAAACAGTTAATAGAATGCCTTTTCTTGATATGTCTTTATTGAAACTTTCATGGTTTAACAATATATATATATTTTGTTAGAGGCCATGTTGGGGTGAAAGTGGAGCCTTCTTTCCTACATGCAAGTCCTCTGTGCGTTTTGTAGATGTCTTTGAGGTTCCATTCCCAGTTTGCCTTCCATGACCCCTTCTGCTATACTAGAAGACCTTCTTCATTCTTACCAGGTTTTCAACTTGCTATATGAAACTTCCTGCAGATGTATTTCCCAGTATAGCTGTTTCTCAGATTGGCTTTGCATTGATATGAATTTAGGGCTTGATCCTGTGGTGTGGTGATCAGTGAGAATATTTGCAAAAGGACTTCAACAGGATTGAAGGCAGTGGTGAGCATGCCATAGAGCAGCAGTTCTCAAACTGTAGATCGAGACCCCAAACTGGGTCCGGACCTCTTTTTAATGGGGTCGCCAGAGCTGGCATTAGACTTGCTGGGGCTTGGGGGCCAAAGCCTGAGCCCTGCCGCCTGGGGCCAACTTCAGTGCTGGATGGCGTGGCTTGGGTTACAGGCCCCCCACATGGGGCTGAAGCCCAGGGGCTTTGACTTTGTCTCCTCCCCACAGGGCGGCAGGGCTCAGGCTTCAGTCCCCCCACCCAGCGTTGTGTAGTAATTTTTCTTGTTAGAAGGGGGTCAGGGTGCAATGAAGTTTGAGAATCCCTGCCATAGAGCATGCTCTCTCCTGTCAATGTCCTACGTTCCTGGATCTGCTGATTTTTTTTGTTACACTCTGGGTAGCGTATTAACCATTTGGCAAAAGCTTTCATCTGTTTAGCAAAAGGGAACATTTGTTTTAAACTTGCTACACTGAAAAAAGGATTCAAATTAGTGCATTGATTTGTCATTCCATACATGTTCAAAATAACTCCAACTTACATGCTAAAGGGGCAGAAGAATGAAATGTAGCAGAAAAAGATATCTAACTTGAGGGTGGAATTTAATTTTCCCTGCTGGTGACCCACCCTTTTTGCCCCCTTTTTGGTTTGTGCAAGTTACCCTCATTGGATTCTAAATCAATCCTATTTAAACTTTCATCACTTATATCTGTCTCATGACAAGTTTATATCACCACTTTTCACTGTTGAATTTTGTCCAGAGACTTCCATGGTAAATGAATCTGTTTACATCCACTCAGAATTGGACTCACTGCTTTTAAATGTGTGTAGTAGCAACCAAATCAGGCTGCTAAAATTGAAATTTGGTTTAAAAACAGAAATCAAGCACATGAAATACCTGTGACAAGCCAGATATGAAGATAACTCTAGTTGCTCAAACACTGAAAGATTGGTTTCAAGAAAACAAAGTGAGGAAAATGCAACATACAGAAAAAGTGGTATAGAAAGGTGAGATGTTGATAATTTGACCATATTCAATTTTAATGTATATTTCAAAAAGATGTTCTCCTTTTAAAGCATTAGCTCATACTTTCTAGTTCAGTCTTTTATAAGGAACATACTGTAAGCTATAGTATATAGTATGAATGTACTGATCTGTTTAGAAACTTGAGAGGAAAAGAAAACAGCAGTAATTCAGATCCTTTTTTTTTTTTCAGCAAAATTAACCATGACAGCTGTTTGCTAAAACTATAATTAATGTTCTTTTAATTTTGGTAAACTCAAATGCCTGGAATAACTACAGTGGTGTGTATGAGTGTGAATGTGCATAGACAGGCTTAAACATACCTTTTTTTTCAATAAGATGTAATATTTTCAAAAGGACCCATTACAAATCTAATACTTTTTAGTGAGTTGCTACTTTTCAGATATTATGTATAATTTTTAATGTTTGTTTATTTAAAAATTGTTTGCATTGCCTAATAAAGGCCTGTGCTTAACACAGAACAAGAAAGACAACTTAATTTTATTTTAAAGAAAAGTATTAAAAGCCATTTTTACATCAATAACGTCATTCTCTTGGCTGCATTCATTACGGGGTGTGTTGCTGGACGCATTTAGCTACTCCATACAAACTCTTCATTGTTAAGGAAAACTGATGTGTACAGACAGCCGGATCGTAGGGAAACATAGTCTATGGCTAGTGCTGAAAAGAATGGCATTAGCATAATGTCTTGGCTTTGACAAACTATATGTAGCAGTATTTTTTTTTTCGAACTGCTGATTCTTCCCCATCAAACATGTTTTATCAGAGGCTTTGCCTATAGAAGAACCATTTTATCAAAGGACCATATTGGACTCCTTTCAATTATCTGTGAATAGAATTACTTTCCAGGTAATCAGAATCTTAGCAATGGAATGCAATATTAGGTGTAGGGTGAGAGTGGAGCATTCTGAACCAGAAAATAGCAATTAATTAATTAATTAGTCCCACAAAGAGAAGGTACTATTATATTAGAATAGTAAGAAGATGAGCTTTTGATTTTGCATTAAGGACATATGAGGGAGACTTGAATTGGAAAATGTGTATGTTCTTTAGAGCGAATTCAATGAAATAAAAAATGTTGAGGCTTCTACATTTGTGGACTCTCATGCCAGACCAAGGAAACTGTGAAAAAACATCTTCTTTGGATTTGGAGTAGGTTTTACATGATGTTGAACCTTAGATTATAGTTTTTCTTGACTCCCGCTCTTTATAGTGTCAGACAACTGATTTTTAAACTTAAAGGAATTAGAAAAAATATTGAAAACACAAAGGATTTAAACTTAATTTACATAGTAATTCAAGCTTTTTTTTTAATAAGATGGCTCGATTAGTTGTATTTAACTAAATTAGTTGTGTGAAGCTCTCATTAGCAAACCTATTGGATTTCATGCCTCCTCTGTCCAAAATGCTCTCTTTTATGATGGTACCATATATAATTCTGCAAGATCCCTGTGTTGAGCCACTGTCCTTCGGGCCAAGGAGGACTGAATTTCTGGGAACCCTTTGAGTCTGCAGTACACATTCTTAACTAACCAGAGCATTTCATTGAGAGCTACGTCAGGCACTTCTTCCTCCCAAAGACATTGCGTGTTGCCGCTGCAGCACTGAACAATCCAGGGATCCAGAGACTGACTTATCAGTGGATCTCATTTGTAAGGAACTTTTTCTCTCATGGTACTTGTGTGGGCCCCATCATTGTGGTATCTTAGTGCTTCATAAACATTAATGAATTTTATCCTCATACCACCTAGCCTAGTGGTATTGGGACAAAGGGATTTTCTTACTATCTTGGGCTTGGAGATGACTCAGATGACAAGATGTTTGAATGCAGCCATCAGCCTGATGGAGACTGCCAGAACTGCTGAGAGCCTTTTGCCCTCTGATGGGTATATTAGGAAAGGTTCTGTTTGATATGGGGAACAGAGTGAGAGTTAAGGAAGAAACTGTGTGTGTGTGTGTGTATATATATAAAATAGAAAAAATCCTGAAGTTGTGGGTGTTTTATATTGGACTAACCTACAGGAAAGCACTTGAGAATCACAGGCTTTTTCTTTGGCTTAAGGAAGGAGAGCAAGTTGGGATTGCAGATATAATAGTGTTGTTTATTCATACCTTCTGAATCTTCTGAGACAAAAAATAAATCACAGGTCAGTGAGCGGGAATCCAGTATAGGAAAATGCAGAAAGTCTAGTGCAGGTATCACACCGTGTTTGTCAACTTAATCTGACCAAAATCTAGGAGCCAGTCCCAGAATGATGTTATATTTTTGTTTTTAAAACTAAATTGTCTACTGAGATTCATGAATTATAATTGTTTACAACTCTGTCCTTATTCATGTAGGCTGTATTTTTAATAGTGTGAATAATTAAAGGTGCCATCATTGTCCCATTTCAGACACCTGGACCATTTAGTTTTGTACTAAAACTCTAACATTTATGCAACTGGCTGTCAAAAATGTGGATGAGCCAAATCACCTCTAGTTTTAAACAAAAGAAAAATGTAGCAAAAGAAAGTATTTGTTTGACTTGGGTCCTGTGACAAAACAGAAACATTGGGAGAGAGACTAATTCTCATAAGATAGCACTAAGTTATTTTTGTGGGTTTGAAATTACATTGCATCATTTTTGTGTTTGTTTCTTCCCCCCCCAGGAAATTCCACTTACTTGGATGACCATGGACCACCCCCACGCAAGGTGAGCTCCTTCCATCCTTACCAGTTGCTTTCCTGTTGTATATTTGGGCCAAATTGTACTCTGTTCCTCCCTAGTAAATGTGGAGTAACTCCACTGAGTTTTACATTGGTGTAGCTGAAAGCTCAATTTGGCCCTTTTGCCCCCCCCTCTTTTTTAGAAAGCATTTTCCTCTCTCAGGCTTTTGTAGATAGCTTGCACAGAAATATGTTTAACTTGGGTAAAACTGGTTCATTGAAGTCAGTGGGAACGGGATTTCAAACTTGTTCTTTCCTGGTGCCAACATGACGCAGTTTGTCAATACATACAATAGAATGCTCAGTGGTCCTCTATTCTGGAACAATATTATCACTTGGTCGCTTTAGGAAGTGTCATCAAATTGTTACAGTTGTCATTGTTCTTGTGAAGTATTTGCTCACAAATGCAACAGCCAAACAGGGCTAAATTATTGTTTCTAACCCCTCAAATTAAATCTCTTCCTCTTAGTTTCCCTTTTTAACAGCAAGTATTTCAACAGGTATAGTACTTCTAAAACCTTAAAAAACAAATGCAGAATACATGAACTCAGTGAAATTGAGGTCTGTGTTTAAAAAAAAAAAAATCTGAGAGTAAATATTAAGAATGCAGCACTGGCTTATGCTGAAGACAGTGTACTCTTAAAAGGAAATGTTTATCAAGATAAACATTAATATTTCTTGATTTTTAAATGAGACTAAGTGTCTTCAATATAAACTTAAGTTGACCTACATTAGGTTGACTTACAGCCAGTACAGGGTCATATCCACACTGGTCTTCTTCAGTAGGTGGTGTGCGTCCTCACTAGGAGCGCTTCCACTGATTTAAGAGTGACAGGCACATGCAGCCCCCCACTGGGAACAGGATAGCCACACCAGGCTTCTTAGCTCCCCGCTCCTCACCGGGAGCCTGGCTCGGCTCCGAGGACTGCAGCTGACCGGACTCTGGGCACAGAGTTTCCCCCCAGGTGCAGCCATGCTCTCAGTTGGGAACAGGGAGCTGAGAGCCCAGGTGGCTGCCCCATTCCCAGTGGGGAGTGGAGAAGCCCAGTGCAGCTGTTCCCTCCCTGGTGGGGGGTGCTGAGAAGCCCAGTGCAGATGTGCCATTCCTGGAAGGGAACTGAGAGCCTGGGCAACAGCCTGGTCAGAGTGGGGAGCCAGGATCCCGGGGTGGAGCATGCTTCCCTGTGGGGAACCTGGGTGGCAGCCCGAGCCAGGAGCCTGGGTGGCAGCCCGGCAGAGGAACCAGGAGACAGCTTTCTTGTTAATTTCACAGCTCCCGCAGAGCTGTGAAATTGACAATGACAACCAATAGATGTAAGTACGCAGTGTCTGCAGGGGGCACTATGTCACCCTAACTACACCGATATAAGCCTTATGCCTCTCGTGGAGGTGGAGTTATAATGTCAGTGTAGTAGGGCACTTATATCGGCAGGAGCAAGGCTGTAGCATGTATGCTAACATAATTAGGTCAAAGTAAGCTGCCTTACGTTGGCCTAACGCATTAGTGTAGACCAGGCCTCAGTATTTGTGCTGCTAGTGCCAGATAGTAGAAGGGTGGTAGGTGGCAAATTGGTAGATTATAACATAAAAAAAATTAAAATTAGCTGTGTTTTATCAACTAGTAAATATAATATGGAATACACGAGACATAATTAATATTATTGCATTTTAGTATTAGATTGTGACTCTACATATATGGGAATAAACCAAACTGATAGATGCACCCTTAATTCTGGAATAACTGTGTCCACACTAGGCAATTTTACCTCTTTAACTGTATCATTTTCTAACTCAATGTAGTTATAGTTGTACAAAATAGCTGTAGGCCAGCCCCCAAATCACTGCCTTCATTGACGAGGGATGTGAAAATGGCCTGCATGCTGGCAGCAACTGCCAGAACCATTGTGCAAGCATAATGTTTCCAGGAATGCATGTGGTGGAGGTGTCAAGTACACTTCTGTACGGGGTTAGGTAAGTGTAGTGCCGGTCCAACTCTTCTGGCCAGTGAACTGTGTGGCACTGTAGCCTTGCCCCTGCTGTGCTCTTTATCACCTACTGAGTTGCGGGCACTGCTTTCCGAGCATTTCAAGAATGCAAGGACAAAGATTATGTCTGGCCTCTGCAAGAAGAAAAGTGGTGACAGGCTTTCTGTGCATCCAGGTACAAGCTAGCCATTAATATATATGATTCTCTGAAACCTTATTTGGTGTTACCTTAGCTCTGAGACTTTCCAGAAAAGACCTATAATAAGACCATTATAATGACATTGTTTTTGCTGCTTTATAAATAAATATAGTGAGTTTTCTTAGAAAGGAAGGAGTAATCTTGCCATGCTATTAATTTTACCATGTTAATTTTATTTTCTTAGGCATAGAATAATATGGTGATGTATTTATATCCTGGTAATGTAAATGTTTCCTTTGCAAGGTTATGTACTGTGCAAATGATATACACTGACAAGATAAACATTTTTTAAAGGTTTCCTTTCCCAAATTATTTCTCATTTTTCTCTGTTACTTGTAACAGAGGTAATAAAAAAAAGGAAAGGGGCGGGGGAGAAATCACATGATATACTGGCGTTTTATAAATAGCAGATTGGCTTTGGCTGTGGATATGTTTTAATATGATACTTTGCCAGGTGAACTCATTTCAATGGGAGTTAGGTACTTAGGGGCTTTTGAAAATTTCACTAGGTACCTATCTGCATCTTTGAGCACCCGAAAACCTGTAAAAATCTGGTTCTAAATCACTTAAGTGCTTTTGAAAATTTTATCCTTAATCTCTCAAAATACAACAATACTTCCTTTTTAAACATCACACTCCCTCTCCCAACCCCTAAGCTATATTTTTTTGTCTAATTGCACCTGAAGAGCACAAGTATCCTTATGGGTTTCCTGCATGAGTAGTTATGAAGGTAGATCATTATAGTCCTAGCAGAGATAATAAAATAAACTTAAGTAAACTCTCCACTTATAACTGTTAGGGTAAAAAGATAAAGCTAAATACTGGTTTTTGTCTTGAAAAATTGTAGTTTCCTGCTGAGGGTCTCGGTGGACCACTTAATGATCTTTCCAAATGTTGTTTGTACCGTTAACTAACTATTGTAAAGTGCTTTGGATAAAAGCACTATATAAAAAAAATTAATAAAAGTTTTTTGTTCTACAAATAAAAGCACACAACTCAAATTTTAATATCACTAGTCTTACCTTTCTAATGCGATGGATGTGCCCTCCCTCCCCGGCCACGGCAAACCCCAGGCTGGGGCTGGGAAGGAGGGAGGTCTCTCCCTCTCTCCCCTGCTGCAGCAGCCACAGAGCTGGGGCTGGGAAGGAGTGGGGGGGTCTCTCCCCCCATGTCCCAAATTGCCCCCACTGCATCCTCCCAGTTACCCCCTATTCTCCCCAAGGCCACCACCTCACCTTACATGTGCATCTTCTGCAGGGTCCAGGCACCTAATTAGTGGAGCCATACCTGCACGGCTCCACTAATTAGGTGGGCGGCCCTTCGTTCTCTCATGTGTGGCCGCCCAGGTGCACACCTTAGAGGGAACTATCCGCGGACCACCTGAATGGAGCTCGCGGACATAGTTTGAGAACGTCTGGTCTAAAGAATTGCTTTAGAGCTGGCCTCCAGTATAAAGTACTCTGTGCTTGAAAAAGTAAAAACAATTCTTATTCCAGACCCATATTTTTCATGTTTGATTTAGCACTCAGAAATGCCTTCCCAGGCCAATAAGGAAAGGACTGTACTCTAGATTAAGATAAGATTTTTTTTTTTTAACCTTGAAAACTTTTTTCTGATTTGCATGCCAAATTTAGCATTTTGTTCCTCTTATTTCAGGAGTTTTGCATTACACAAGAAAAGGGCTGGGGGGCATGTGCCATAATGCATAGTAGCAACAGTTCAGATTTATCAATGCCAGACAATTTCGTAGTACAGTCTGAAAAATTTACCTTAGTTCTCTTGTCTTAAAGATTCCTGGCTAATCTGCAATTTCTTTCAGAGCTTCCCAGTGCCTTACTATCTTTAGTATATTCACTTAGTACAGTGTAGTGTCTATCCCTTTTTTTTTTTTCTTCTTTATTTCACTCCTCTTCCAGCTGGCAGATAAAGTTTCAAACTTCTGATGGCAAATAGTGTAGTCTGAAGTGTGTCCCGTGCTTCACTAATATCTGTGGTACTCATAAAATCAAATCCATGTCCTGTTGATGTCATCATGCTTAGTCTTTGGGTTGCCCAATGTGAACTAGATGTTTTGAGCAGCCTGAACATGCTCAGATTTGAATTGAGTGCTTGTGCAACTAATCAAAGTTCTGGGCATTTTGTCCAACCAGCCTCAGTTCTGGGTGTTTAAAAAACAGTACAGCAGGGCAATAGAGTGTAGTCTTATGTAAGTGCTAATTATCTTACATTTTGAAGCACTTGCCTAATTGCCTCTTTAAAAACATTTGGAGGGCATAGGTTGGGATATAAACATCTTGATTGTCCCAACAGCAGCACATTTGTAGCCCTCACTTATTTTTCTGTTCACTCCTGTTTGTCTAAACATTAGCAAAGCTGACATTTAGATATTATGCAGATACTTCATAGTATCAGAGGGGTAGCCATGTTAGTCTGGATCTGTAAAAAGCAACAGAGAGTCCTGTGGCACCTTTAAGACTAACAGATGTATTGGAGCAGAAGCTTTCGTGGGTGAATACCCACTTCAAAGTGGGTATTCACCCACTCCAATACATCTGTTAGTTTTAAAGGTGCCACAGGACTCTCTATACTTCATAGTATTTGTTTAGGGCCAGATTGTTCCCTCAGATCCATAAGTTCTATTGATTTTGTAGCATTGCATGATTAGGTAGGTGTATATGTTATTTACCCTCCTTTGAAGCATCAGCTATTGCCATCTGCTTGAGGCAAGAAACTACATGCACCCTGATTCTCATTCAGGCAGCTTCTGTGTTTTTATCTAAAGCTAAATATTAGGCTGTTAGA